GCCTCCGCACCTCCCCTCGGACTCCCCTCCTTCCTCCGGGCCCAGCCGGGCCCTCGGCCGCCCATGGGGAAACTTAATGCTGCTTTTTAAGCACCTTTTGTGATCTAAGGGACTGACCCCCCCAGGTGTCCAGCTCCCTTGGTGGAATTCCTCTTTTGTTTCCACTTCTCCGCGTTCTCCGGTTTTCCTCCCGTCTGATTTATCTGCGAGGTCTGGGGCTTCTGCCCGGGAGAGAGAGGGAGGGGGTGGGGAGAAGGGATAAATAGGTGCTGCTGCCCCAGAAGGTTTAGACGTCGCGAGAGAGTCGCCATAGCCGGGGCCAGCTCTTGCGACCCCATTGGGGGAATCTGATCCCAGGAAACCGGGAGCTCGCAGGGGGAGGAGACGCTTCCAGATCATTGTGTGCACCTAGGGGGAGGCGGACGACCTCTCGACGGCCCACGCCGCTGCCGCTGCCGCTGCCGCTGCCGCTACCGCTGCCGCCTCGTCCTGCCGGCGGCATGGTCGCAGGCAGCCCCGGAGCGAGGCCGCGGCCGCGGGCCGGGCTACTGGCCCTGGCTGCGCTCTGCCTGCTCCGGCTGCGGGGCGCGCGGGCGGCAGCCTGCGAGCCCGTCCGCATCCCCTTGTGCAAGTCCCTGCCCTGGAACATGACCAAGATGCCCAACCACCTGCACCACAGCACCCAGGCCAACGCCATCCTGGCCGTCGAGCAGTTTGAAGGGCTGCTGGGCACCCACTGCAGCCCCGACCTGCTCTTCTTTCTCTGCGCCATGTACGCTCCCATTTGCACCATTGACTTCCAGCACGAGCCCATCAAGCCCTGCAAGTCGGTGTGCGAGCGCGCCCGGCAGGGTTGCGAGCCCATCCTCATCAAGTACCGCCACGCGTGGCCCGAGAGCCTGGCCTGCGAGGAGCTGCCCGTCTACGACCGCGGCGTGTGCATCTCTCCCGAGGCCATCGTCACGGCCGACGGAGCTGGTAAGTCCTGCCCGGCCCACCTCGCGGCGCCCCGGCTGCTGCGCTCCTTGGGGTGCTGGCTGCACCCCTTCCCTGCCTTGCGTGTCTCTTCTGATCACTCCCCTCGCAAGCACCATTCTCTTATTTCGCTCACTGTATTCCCCATGTAAACGGTCGCCCTTTCTGCCGGTCTCTGGTCGGTCTTTCTGAAACACCCCATTCATTCCACTCACCTCGCGTTTGCCCTCAATAGCGCCCCTTCCCTCCCCTGCACCTCCCACCCCTGAGCTCCGCGAGGGGATCCTGTGTCCCAACTTCTTCGTTTGTTTATAAGCACTGAGCTTTCCCGCCCTGTCCCATGAATTCTGAGCTGTCAGGTTTCCTCCGTCCCTTTTAGTGGGTGTTAGCCTGCTGGTTCAGATTTTGCGGAGAAAACAGAACATTAAAGCCCCGTTTTCATCTAATCGCTAAAAATGTCAAGATCAGTTTAGTAGCCTTACTCCAACCCACAGATGTTAGTGGTATGTGTTTGCTCACAGTCCAATCGGAGCAATGACCTTCCGCTCACATTTCCTCCTCCATTCAAGGAGATCGATTGTTCCTTCATTCCGGACGGACGGGAGCAGCTGAGACATTGCTTTGCGCTGTTAATTAGTTTCTGCCACTTGCTCCCGCCAGCCGCAGAGCGGGTAGGGAAATGGCTCGGCTCTTTTCCACATACCTTCAAGTCATTTTATAGATGGCATCTGGACGAGAGGAGTTTTATTTAAGACTTGTTATCAGGCGCTGGTGTCATGTTATTTTTATTCTCGCCCCTTTGCCCCTTCCACAACAGCAATCCATCTTCATTCCACTCTACCCCTCCGCAAGCCACTGGCTTTCTTTCTCGGACTCCTTCTCAGTGACTGCCTCAGCCACCCATTCATTTCAGTCCTTCTCGACCATAAAACCTTATTGCAGTTCTACATTGAATGGAATCAACCAGAAGTTGCTTTCTCACTAGTGTTTGGTCTAATTATGACATTCAAAACACTCCCAACCCCACTAATCTTAATTCACCACGGTCCATTTAATTCTAATTCAGTAGCATCCTTTCCAGGAACCCAAAGTTCACAGTCTACCCTTCATATACTTTAAAAATAAACCCAGCCCTTTATAAGCAAGTCCCTTTCATGTCCTTCCCGGATTGACTTCCACAATGTGTCTACTTATTTACCATCACTGCTCACTTCTCTGGCATCCATTCTTTCTCTCTGCCCCGCAACCTGCTCAAGTAAGCTCGTGGGCTTACTCCATTTCTAGGTAAAAGCTCATGGTTCTCAGCAGATTGGTGTGGGAAAATGAGGGGTCCTTCTCCAAATACTTTCTGTACACACCAGCTTACATAGGCTACAGCAGCAGTTCTCAACCTGTGGGTCACGACCCCTTGGGGGCCGAACGACCCTTTCACAGGGGTAACCCGATTCATAACAGTAGCAAAATTATAGTTATGAAGTAGCAACAAAAATAATTTTAGGGTTGGGGGGTCACCACCACATAGGAACTGTATGACAGGGTCTCGGCAGTAGGAAGGTTGAGAACCGCTGGTCTAAAGTGAGAAGAGGAGTGAGTGGGAGGTACTTGGGCAAATCATTAGAAAACCAAAGCGGAACAGAAAACCTTCAGTGACGGCTCGATGGGCACCTCACTCAATGACGACCAGTTGGATCTATCTATTTCTGTGAGTTTAATAAAAAACTAAGAGCCGGCTGTGTAAATCATTAGGAGTGCATGATTAGTCTGTGTGCTCAAAGAGCACTCTTGGATCACTTCTCACCGAAGCCCTTTGCTCAGCTGACTTGGGAAGAGCTCAGAGCAGTTGCTTCTCAGGTCTGTCAGGCCTTCAGAAGAGGCTGACTGCTAATACTCCTCTCAGGCAGAGCCAGCAGTAGGCGGCAATGGTTCACCAGGAAACAATCCACTCTATAAAGGAGAAGATTCTCTCCAAACCCCCTCCCTGAGACACGAATCCCAAAGGAGTGCATTGGCAAGTTTAATGGCTCTCAAGCTTCACGATAATCAATATTGAGAGGAAGCAGTTTTATGAAGTGCTCATCACTGAGGACCAAACCCAGGAGCCCTCATGGCACAAGTTACAGGTTGGGCTGCAACTGTGAGGTCCGTGGTTGGAACTCACTAGCACTCAGTGAGAGAACGACGAGTCTGCTTCCATAAAGAAGCCATTCTACTGTGTCCTGTAGGGTCACTCTGGGTCAGAATCATCCTGATGGCAGTGGGTTTGGTGAACCAAGCCCTCTGTCTTTCCATAGAGCACAACTTCTTAAAACTGTTACGTGCTTTCAACAACATTCTTGCTAGAAAATTAAGGAGCAGGTGGCAACTGGATTCAAATTTTATTGATGACCCCTCCCTTCTTGTTTGGCATAACCTGTGGCATAACCTGGGACCATGGTGGCAAGGGGGATTAAAGGAAAAGCAGGGTGCAGATTTTTGACTGAAGGGGCCCCCAGGCTTTCAAGGTTAGCTTGATGAAAATTACCCTGATTATCCTAGGTCAAATTGTCCATCACCTGGAGTTACTTAGGAACTACCACAGCTAACTAGCCTCACCTACGATGCAATGTCTTGTGTGGTCCAGTGGGATGTGATCGCTCGCAAAGGAAGTGTTTCTTTACTTCTTTTTGTTCCTTCCTTCTTCCCTTTCCTCCAGGTAGAAATGGAGTCCCGATGTTTTATGACTATGATCTATCCCACACAGATTCAGAATGAGGTCTCCTTGAATAGATGCCACAGCCTTTCACATTCCTTCAATGTCAAGAGGAGATTTCAGATTCCATGAAACTGTTTCACCATAGTACTTTAAGACTTCTCAAATGAGCTGAGGACATTTTAAGAAGCAAAGTTCTATTGCAATGAATCATTGCTTCAAATTGCTTATAACTTTCAAAATACTTAAGGCACACATACTTTTATAGAGCAAAGGACATAACCTGGCCATTACTCATGAATTCACATCATATTCATCTCACATATATTTACTATAGGGTTGTTGCTCCATTCAAATGCTTTAAGGTAAATTATCTGAGCATACAAGTCCATTTAGTCATTTAGCCAGTTAAGTAATTTAGCCAAATCCTTAGCATGGTGAGTAAGTAGATTAGGCTTGAAGTCAGACTAACCAGGGTTTAATCTGACTCTGGGCTAGCTCTTATAATAGGAAAATTGTATAACCTTTCTGGTTCAAAGGCGACTTATCTGTAAATGGGGACAATACTACCACCTATATCTCGAGGGCATGGTAGAAATTAAATTGAACGACATAGGTAAGTGATGAAATGTAATACCTGGTACACAGCAGCTCATAACAAATGATTGTTGCTTCTTCTGGTTTTTGTTGGTTGGTTTTTATAAAACTATTACGCTTATTGGTATAGTCAGTTGAGTGACATTCCTTTTCTTTTTCTTTTTTTAGTGGTTGTGTTGGATGCAGACACAGCCAGCATTTTAATCATTTCACCTCTGGGCAACGAGGCGCACACTGGAAAAGCACATCTAATTCATCGGAATATATAAAGTTTATCATTTCATTTCACACAAATAGACCTCAGACTCAAGAATGAAATATCTTGGAAACCACAGGGGTGGGGAGTAGGGGGACAATAAGGCTCATCTATGCCTGTTAATAGTTTATCTCAGAAGTCAAGCATTTAAGAAAATCTATGGTATGGTATTTACCAGCTATTTATACAACCCCCCGGCTTGCCATGCCAAGGGTTTATAATCGCTCCTCAGTCAGGGCTGGTTTCGTGGTGGTGTTAACTTGTCACCCCAGCTCCTGCTCAAGCGATTTCTCCAGGCCTTGGCCCGACGGGCAGGCCCGCGCCAACTTTCACATGCATGCACTGCTGTTTAATCACTCCTCTCCCCTCTGAGGAACAGGCAGTCTTTTCTTTAGCCCTCGTCTGCAAATATTTGAGAGGCCAAATACCAAGAAAGAAGAATTATTTAGTGTGATAGGCGGAGGAAAAATGGAAGGGAAGGAGAAATGGAAATTTTATATTAAGACTAGAGAAAAAACATGATTTGAAGGATCTTTATGTAAAAAGACTCTGGATGGTACAGGAAGCATATTTTAGAGTGCTATGAGACTTAATTTTATTAGTGGCTAACTTGATTATCAGCAGCAATGGAATCTTAGGAACAGAAACCATTTGGTTCTTATGCCATCCTCGACCCTTCTTTTAATCATTCATTTAAACTTTGTTCCTAGCGGACTTTCAAATATTGTTGCTATAAATAGAAAGATGGAGTTAGCTATTTTAGACTTACTATTGCCTGTCTAGAAAGGAAGACCAAGGACCCACCCTATTTAGGAAGTACCATCAAGTGAATTCTGACTAGAACAAGCCTTTATCGGCTCTCTGAGACTGCACATCTTTCTGTTAGCAGATAGCTTTATCTTTCTCCCACAGAGTGGCTGGTGGACTTGAACTGCCAACCTGGCTGTTAGCAGCCCCATACCTAGTCCACAGTGCCACCAGGGTTCCTTATATATACATACAGCTTCAATAAGAAAGATATGAGTGGGTCATAAAGGTCATGAAAGAACTAGTTCTTTTAATGAAATGTTTTCAGGAACTTTAAAAATCCCCCTCATCTTTCTTCCATTGGAAGGAAACGACATTATTAGTGGTTTTCCAGAGAAGCAGCAGTGAGAGGATTGATTGAGGAATTGGCTCGCTCACACAATCGTGTTGTTTGGCAGAAACCAGCGGCAGTTCACCTCTCAGTTTTTGTGTTTAACTTTTGTGTTTACTCAAGCCTTTTGTGAAGGGCTGATGGTCTGAGACCCACCCATCTTAACAAGGCTAATCCATATGTAAGTCAGCTGATCTAGACAAAATAGATCTTGTCTCCAATCTTAGTAACACATAAATTAGCATTTAATTAGGTAACTAATAGTATAACCCAGCCAAGTTGCCATATATAATTAACCATCAAAATTGGAATTTAAGATTTGCTCTTAATTTTGTAGCTCAAGGAAGTCATTTGACACTGACTGGAAATTGTGAAGAAAAAAATTCATGTAAACTAAATATTCATGTGAATTGCAAAGTAGCATATGGAAATTGTGAAGAAAAGACAGATTATTCATGTATATTATAAATATTTATGTAAATGGCAAATATGTTGGAGATATGTCTAACAATAACATAAGCAGTAGAGGATATATGGTCATCCTTAGTGTGGAGATCATTAACAACAACAGAATTATAACCAATAGCACTCACCATTGCTGGGTGCTACTTCCATGTATTTTATGCATGTTAGCTCATGTAATTCTCATAATAGCTTCATGGTAAACTCAATGCTATCTGGTTGATTCACACTCATATTGAACTTATATAGGACATCTGGAACTGTAAATCTTTGCAGGAGCAGATAAAGCCTCAACTTTCTCTCACAGAGTGGCTGGTGGTGTTTGAACCACTGACCTTGTGGTTAGCAGTCCAACACTTATCCAACAGCCACCAGAGCTCCTAAGTACATAGAAGGCACTATTAGATGGTACCACCTACAGGGCTCCTTGTTGTAAAATGGTGTTTTGCAAAAAAAAAAAATTTTTAATAGAAGCATAGAGAGACAACAGCTTCTCTAAATGGTAAGTAAAAGAACTCAAATCCAAGCCTGCTCTTTACTATATTTCCTCTACTACTAAGAAAAGAGGTGTTTCCTAACTTTGCAGAAAATTTTGATCTTTTGCCCACTGCATTGTATTTAAAGGGACAACATATTTATTATTGTATTTTGAGAGCCTATTTGTATTAGACTTAAAAGACTAGAAGGTGGCCCTGGCACGTGATTCCAGGAGAAAAGAGAATATTACTTCATTGTACTTTTGAAATACAGTGAACCCTCGTTTATCGCGGTGAATCGGTTCTAGACCCTACCGTGATAAATGAAATTCCACGAAGTAGGATTCCTTATTTGTAAATCAAATATTTTCGTAGTTAGAGCATAGAGGACATGAAAAGACACCCTTTAGTCACCATTACACTCGTATTACCCAATTTATTAAACGAAAAATGGAAAATACAGTAAAACATTTTGGACGTTACAATTATCATTTATTATTTATTATATTATTTATGGCATCAAGCGTGTACAGTATGAGCCAATCAGTGGCAGTAATGACAGAGCATGCGCTGTTACGCACAAACCGCGATAGAGTGAAGCCGCGGAAGTCGAAGCACGAAGTGGCGAGGGTTCACTGTACCATGCAAACTTCAGAATCCTCTCAATCTTAGCATGTCCCAGAATGATCTCTCTATTTCCTCAGCTGCCTACCCTTGTTCTTTCTCTGGTAGTTTCTATATTGGGGAGAGAGCCCACCCACCCTTCTTGCCCAGGCCATGGGGATTAGCTCTGATTCCAAACTGTTCCTTATTCCCCACGTCCAATCGTTGTTGGGTCGATTCTGACTGCTAGTGATCCTATAAGACAGAGTCCACCTGTCCCATCTGATTTCCCAAGTTGTCATCTTGGAGGGGAAGAGGTCTCATCTTTCCCCTGAAGAGTGATGGGTGGGTTCAAGTTGTTGACCTTTGGGCAGCCTGCTGAGCTTTAACCCCAGTGCCACCACCGCCGCTTGGACACTCTGGGATTTTGCTGTCGCACACAGTTCCATTCATTAGAGGTTGCTTCCTCAGCTGTGGCCACAGAAGACCTTAATCATATCATTTCCTGTTCATGGAATCCTGAGAAGGATAAATGGCTATTCTTAATTTTTGCCATGTCTATGAATTGTACTGGGTGGTTGGTTTCCTTTCTGTTGACGAAGTCTTTAGTTTGCAGTTAGTAAAGGGCATGAGACTACTTTCGGCATGTCTTCTGCAGGTATTAATGTATGCTAGTGTTATGATTCAGTTATTTCTGGAAGAAGTGTTTGGCTCTGCTGGATATAAAGTCAAAGGTGTTTAGTGAGTGGCTAATATTTGCAGGAGTCTTATTGTGATTTCAAATTTCATGACACATGAAAACTTAAGTAGATACTTACTAAACCCTAATATTCCATGTATGGATGATAGATTGACGAAGACTATCACTTTTTACTTCCATAAAGGACTTGATCTTATCTTTTTTTGACCAACCAGGGATAGAGTGCCAGTCTCAGGGGCAGAAAAGAATGTGTTCTTTTCAGACACCTGGGCTCTTACCCAAATCAAACTTGTGATTGAATTAGAGTTTCATATGTGAATGCTTCAAATAATATAATAATAGATATGTTGTGGTTCTCTCTGTTCTGTCACCCCTTTTCAGATTTTCCTATGGATTCAAGTAACGGCAACTGTCGAGGGGCAAACAGTGGTGAGTGTGTGTATAAGGTTAGCTTCCTGATTTCTGTTCTGGAGTAAGTTAGGCTTTGATGTGACGTAGATTCCCCAAGTCTTATCTGAGGACATTTGTAACCTACATTTTAAGGTAAGCTTTAAGAATGATTATTTGTATTTTTATTTTTCAAAAATTTAACTTTATCTAAATGACCTTTTTCCCTCTCAGTATACAATTCTAGGAACTTGAAAATCTGACTATATTTGTAGAACCATCATCACCATAATCAGATATATATAATCCCATCACTATTTTTCTCCTTTTCAGCCTATTTTCCGAGAAGTTTACAATTCCATTTTCCTTCCTTTATTCGTAATGCTCTAGGACCCTGGTATCATTTTTCTGTCTGAAGAATGACTTGTAGCATTTCTTTTAGAAGTCCTGTTGGAGCAGATTCTCTGCTTTCCTCACCTGAGTGTTTCTATTTTGCCTTTCTTTCTAAAAGATACTTTTCCTGGATATAGAATACTGAGTTGGCAATTCTTTCAGCATTTTAAAATGTTGCTGCATGTACTTCTGGCCTCCGTGGTTCTTAATGGGACATTCCCATTAAATTCCCATTCTCATTCAAATCGTTGTTCTCCCGTACATAGCTGTATTTATTTTCTCTGGTTGCTTTTACAGTTTGTTTGTTTTTTTCATTTTCAGCAGTTAAATTGTGTTGTGTCTGGGGTTTAATTTCTCTGGGTTTAATATGTTAGGGTTAGCTGTGCTTCTTGAGTCTATAATTTTTTATCGCTTGACAAATTTTGGAAGCTTCCTGGCATGTTTTTTCACATATTTATTTTTGTATCACACTCTTTGTCTTGTACTTCTGTGACTATGATGTATCAATAGTAGATATTTTTGTATAGTTCCACATGTCCCAGGGGCGTGTTCAATTTTCTTTTTCAATAATTCTGGTCCCCTTGCTATTTTTATTAAATCTTGTGCTTCAGGCTATCTTCAAGTTCATGGACTCCTTTACTCTATTGTTTTGGGTCCCCCCCCCCCGCCACAGTTTTATTGACAATTTACATGTCATAAATTCAATAGTTCAGTCATTCAATCATATCACAGGGAATTATACAATCATACCACATCAGTTTTAGAGCATTCCCCTTCCCCCATGGTTAAATCACCTTTAAGATGATTTATGCAATCACAATCCCTTCTAGTGCTACCTTCCCCCTCCCATCTTCATTAGTTTCTCCTGAAGTCCCCCCCCCCCCCATTATCTTCCAACTGCAACCCTGTGTTTCCTATCTTCCCTTTATCCGTTATCATAATTATGCATCCAGTCCTCTTGGGCTTCACAGCTGGGAGACTGTGGGAAACTAACCCTGAGGGAAATATGACAAGGACACTATTCCCAAACAGCTTACTCCCGAGGGAGTCAGGAAAGCTGGTATTCCACAGCAGGAAAGCTTCTACTTTGGTAAATTAGGGGTAAAGTGCAAGTCCATGATCCTGTTTTAAATATCATTCCCACAAATTCTCCCATAACAGCTCTGCTGCCTTAAAGTGAGCACATGGTTGATTCTCTCTCCCTATAGAAGCGGACGTTACCCTTCTGCGCTCTCTTCCCGCCGTGACACCCAAGTCCTCTTGTACTTTCCCCCAATGCAGGTATTATGTTTCCTCACGTGTGAGCTCAAGGACCTTAATGTAGATACCACCACCTTGTGCCGCATGTAACTACTAAATCTGCCTGTCTTAAGGCTACCTCTAAATGTCCCAAGATAGTAAAGCCTCTCTCTCCCTTCTCCCAGTTGCACGTGGTCCATCGAGAGGAGTGAGGTGAGCATGCTTCCCTAGAATGTGTCTGACTGCTTGATTTCATCCCTCTCCTCTCTTTCTTATCTTCTGTGACTTTACTCGAATCTTTATATATGATCGCCATACATTTGAGACTCCTGGCCCTTTGGTTGTTGGAGGCTGGTTTCCTAGGACAGAAGACTTGATAAAAAAACAATCACGCTAAGGCGGTAAGGGAAAAACATAATAGTATACAGACAAAAATACTAATAATGTTTAAGAAGGAAAACACCCCCAACAATAATAAAAAAGCCAGGGATGAAATTTCTGTCATGGAACCAGTAAGAGATACTTGCACTGAGATCAAATTCAGGTCATGTCTACAGGGTGGTTACCTGGCCAAGTGTGGTGTTCAATCCAGCATCACCAAGATTACAGTGGTCTTTGCCTGATAGAAAGGCTCATCGAGACTCTTGCCTGTGGCTCAAGAGGATCTACCAGTGGTTCAGTCTGGCCCGACATTCTGCAGATGGGTTTTGGGCTCCCACTGTCCCCCATAGTCCTTTGCAAATTGGCTGTTCATAATTTTTGCTCTGATGTTTTTACTCCTCACCATGTTGAAGTTTTGTAATTGTCATCTTTGGATCACACAAGCTGGTGTGCTTCTTCCATGTGGACTTAGTTGACTCCTCACTTCGATAGCTGCTTGTTTGAATACAAGGCTTTCAAACCCCAGACGCTATTCTGATTGATAGTTGGAAACCATTTGCTTTCTTCACCACACTTTGCTGTAGCACCCTTATCTTCAGCGATCATTTCATGCAAGTCAGTATCAAGCAGGGCCATGATGTAAGAACTGGTTGTTCTTCAACTGGGGCTAGGATTTAGTGAGGGCCCCAAACATTCCTGGATCTATGCCTTTATGTAATTTATTTGTTTATATTAATTAATTTGCTGTAATTTGGAAGCCAATACATGTGTGATATCGACCCATAGTTCAATCATGTCAAACCTAATCGCACAATTTCTTGCATACTCATACATGCTTTCAAAAACATACTTTTGCTTCCTGGACTTCTTGACATCATCTCCCTCTTGTCTCCCCCTTGTCTCCCCCACCCTCTGTAGTCCCCCTTCCCCCAACATCCCTAGGTTTCATTTCCTGAAAAATAATAAAACAAAGAACAGAGTTTCAAGAGGGTGAGCCCAATGGCGACATACCTCTGATGTACACTCTCATGTAAACAAGCATAAACAGAATGTAACAGAATGGCCATCATTCGTTGCTGGGACATCTCAAGACAGCGTGCTGGGTGCTGATGCACCAAGACCTTGTTTGTCCCCCAACCGACAGTGCCCTGCTCTTGTGCAGCAGTCTTCTCCGGCCTCAGATGCCACATGTTTTCCAGCGTAAGTCCTCAGGTTACAAGGTGTCTGGGGGAGAGTCCATCCAGTTCCCCCAGTGGAGTTCCTATTTGGGGTCTCACCCATACAGTCTCCGGAGCATGATGTGTACCCCGAAGATCAGGATTCAGTGTTCCAGTATGTTATTGTTTTTATTTTGCTCTTCAGCCTAGCCAGTGAGTTAAAAATAATTTCTTTTCAGATGCTATATATTTTTTTCCATTATAAAATTTCCATTTCGTTCTTCTTTACATATTCTTCTTTTTTCCCTGGAGACTGTATTTTTCCATTCATTTCAAAATCTTTTTCTTGTAGTATTTTGATAATAGCTCCTTAAAGTCATTGTTAAATCATTTTAACATCTTTGTCACCTTTTTTTCCCTATACAAGTTGAAAAATTCTTGGTTCTTCATATCTTGAGTAATTTTGCAGTAATCTCCCTGGTAGACTTTTGGATAGTATGAATATGTGAATTTAAATATTATAAGGTTTTGAGTCCTATTGAAAATCCTGTGGAGAATGTTGACATTTTTGTTTGAGCAGGAATCTGCCCAGGAAGATTTAAGCTGCAGTTTCTGACCAGCCTTCTGTGGTTTGTTATTTTAATATCAATTCCATTTCCAAAGCCTTTGCAGTACCTTACAGATCTACACATATGTGCACCCCCAGGGGCCAATATAAGACCAGGGCATGATCTATTCTATGGTCTGAATCATGTCCAGCTCAGGGGTGCTCCCAGCAGTGCCTAAAGGAATAGGGGGTTCATTTCTCAAGCTCCCCTCTCTCTGTAACCACCTTGGTACTTTCAGTTCCCTTGGACTCTGTTTCTTGGATCTTTGGCCCAGGGGCTGGTGCTTTATTTACCCCATTCTCCTTTCACTCCTGTAATTGCTTGTGGGTGTGAGTCCAAGTGGAAGGAGAGCATAGAGGGAGGAGAAAGCTATCAGCATCGCCCCGACTCTCTTGGCTCATAAGTCCTTCCATCCAAAAGAAATGATTCCCTACCTTTGAAGTGCAGGTTCTTGGGAGCCTTACTTGCTGCCCCGATTGCTGCTGGCATTCCCATTGGATTGCTTGAGGCCCGAAATAGAAGACACTGTCAGGAGATTCTTTGGGATGTTTTGAGTCAGGAATACTCAGTGTGTGTGGATGCCTCCTTCCAGGTTACAGGCTGGGCTGAGTCCCAACTGGGGATCCTTGAGGAAAATGGTGGTATCGGTTGAAGGTATTAGCCTCCCCCAATATGCCTGCTATTTTTGAGGCTATAAGAAGCTCACTCATTCATTCAGTAGAAGAGACAGGGTGGTCTCTGTTTATTTCATCTTAGTATAAATAAACTTTTAAATGCATTCATGCAGAAAGGTACATAGTCATAAGTATACAGCTGAGTATGTTTTGAAATTAATCAGTTTCGTGTGAGTATCATACAGGTCAAAAGATATAACATAATCAGTCATCCAGGGGCCTCCCTGTGTCTCTTTCGAATCACTGCTACTAATCTTTTCCTTCAGGATAAAATACTGGCGGGGATTTTCATAGCCATCGGTTAATTTTGTCTGATTTGAACTTGATGCAAGCAGAATATGATAGTGTTGTATAGGCATGTGTGTGTTTTTCTTTTCTTTTTGCTCTTCATTATGCTGTGGATAGCAGGGTTCCACTGTTCTTGCTTCATCTTCTCCCATCACATGAACAGACTACAGTTATTCATTCTTTATTCTTTGTTCCCAGTTTTTGACACTGAGCTAATGCTGTGTTTGCGTTTATAAGAATGTTGTAGGTACAATTATTTTCGCTATGGTTCTATTTTAAGTAATTTGCACCAATTTGGACCA